GAAATATATACAAGAGAACCAATAAGACTAACTGACTCAAGTGCCCTCATGCTTTGACCATGCTAGGTATTCAGTCTGTTAGCCTACTAATTGATATGGGGATGAAAGATTAGAAAAAGTCAAAGGAGACCAATATTTTCAACTGGAAGTGCCAAAAATAGAAGCAGGGGCCTTACAAGGGGATAATCGGGTTTTGAGAAAAGTTGAATTCTCAGACAACAGAACTGGGTGCCTGATGTAACTGGTAGGTAGTGAAGATTCATGTCCCTGAAGGTGTTCAATCCCAAAAACCATCTGTTGGTAATGTTATTGCCAGGTGCATTGGCTCACACCTGTAATCTCAGCATTTTGGGAGGCTGAGATGAGTGGATCACTTGAGTTCAGGAGTTTGAGACTAGCCCTGGCAACGTGGCAAAACCCATCTCTACAAAAAATAGAAAAATTAGCCGCACGCTGGCCGGGCGCGCTGGCTCATGCCTGTCATGCTTGTAATCCCAGCAGTTTGGGAGGCTAAGGTGGGTGGATCATGAGGTCAGGAGTTCGAGACCAGCCTGGCCAAGATGGTGAAACCCCGTCTCTACTAAAAAATACAAAAATTAGCCCAGCACAGTGGCGGGCATCTGTAATCACAGCTACTCAGGAGACTGAGGCAGGAGAATCGCTTGAACCCAGGAGGTGGAGTTTGCAGTGAGCTGAGATCTTGCCATTGTACTCTAGCCTGGGTGACACAGCAAGACTGTCTCGAAAGAAAGAAAGACAGAAAGAGAGAGAGAGAGAGAGAGAGGAAGGAAGGAAGGAAGGAAGGAAGGAAGGAAGGAAGGAAGGAAGGAAGATAGATTAGCCACAAGTGGTGGCGTAGGCCTGTAGTCCCAGCTACTCAGGAGGCTGTCGTAGGAGGATCACCTGAGCCCGGGATATAGAAACTACAGGAAGCCATGATCGTGCCACTGCACGCCAGCCTGGGTGACAGAGCAAGACCCTGCCTTAAAAAAGAAAAAAAAATACTCTTCTCATTAGAGCAAGAGCTAAGATTCGATGAACTTGGAAGTGCCTTCCTGCTTTGATATTCTATGAAACTGGGTCCATGTAAGCTAGTGAAGTGCCTTGCCCAAGGTCATGCAGCTAATTAGTGACAGAGGTGGGATCAAAATTTAGGGCTATTCATGTCTGGTTCAGTATTCTTACCACTGAACTATCTTAACTTTGATTGTACTCTGAGTTGTACTCTCAGGGGTGACCAGAAACCCCATATAAAAACAAGATCAGTAAAAACTGGCTCTGAAATGAAACAAAGCTGCAGCACAGCCTGACACAGTGTACAGAGTGTAAATTTGAGAATCAGATTGAAGTGGCTCTGTCACTCACTCCTGTATGGCTGTGGGCAAATTACTCAACTCCCACACACATAGACATTGTCGCCTCATCTATAAAATAAGCATAAATATTTCTATCTCGTGGGGATGCTGCAAGATATGTAAGGAGATGTTTTTAGATAGATTGATCACAAAACAGATTATAAACACACACACACACACACACACACACACACACTGCTGAGTTCAGTGTCAAGAACATAGTAGACATTAGAGATGGCATTCAGTCTTCTTCTCTTGTGATCTGGTGGGAACAGGCATCTACCAGTCAGAGCCAAGACTGGCTCATCTCCATCCCACAGCACACAAGGTGACTGTTAGCCCACAAGAGGTGGAAATGTTTAGGCCAGCCCTGGGCTCCTGCTGCCATCCCCACTCTGTCACTTCAAAGGCTGGCAGCTTGGGTCTGTAACTGTTAATGAATTATCAACAAACAGGAAAGCAGTGTGGCAAGGAAAGATAACATGAACTTTGGAGCCAAACAGACCGAATTTCGAATCCTGGCCCTGCCACTTACTAAATCTGTGGATCTTAACCTGCCAGAACCTTAGTTTCCTTTTCTGTAAAATGGGGACAATATCGTGGAACACACAATATAGTTTGTATAAAAAGTTGTACACAAAGCACAATGCCATGGCTCATGAAGCACCTTTGAAAATGAGATTCTTTATTTTCCACCAAGAACCTAGAACTGTACTGAGCACATTTTAGATGTTCATTACATGATGGTTGGTAGCATCTCTTTCCTCCTGCTGCTGCTGTACAGCCCTGTGCCGACCTGAACCATAAGTAATGTGGTGTATGTTATCCTGGCTGCCTTTAGTAGATGGTAAATATTATACTCTATACTACCATACTCCTAGGCATTTTACCACTCACCACACCATGTTGAATATGTAAGATTCCTCATTCAATATCGTTTTTGCAGAAATGTATCTGAAAAGATTTTTAAAGTTTTACTTCTGAAATTATTTGACTGCAAGTAAGTTGTGATTGGCACTGTTCCTTCTGCATTCCAGGTACTTGGGAATTCCTACAAAATGAGAAAACTAACCAAAGATTGTTTTCCCATGTAGTGAGCTTTTTATGTGTCCCAAATTTCAAAATAAGTGAAATCAACTTCATGTTACTTTAGTAGCAGGTAAGTAAATATTTTTTTATTTGATTCTATATTTGACTTTTCCTGTATTGGAGCCAATATATTTTTCCCAGTCTCAAATGTTGTAGGCCCTTGGAAACCTCCCAGATTCTAAGCACTGAGCTTCTAGTGCTTAATGGATAAAACAGCCCTGAGGCTGTGGCAGTGGGGAAAACTCATGACGAATGACTAGGATCAAAATACACAATCAAAGGAACCCCATCCCCAGGCCTCCGTGAGTGAGGCTGGCCAGCTGCATGGGCCAGCACCTACTTGAGGGAAAGCATGTTTGCAACTTAATTGGAATCAGAGCTTGCAAATTCTCTGGTCAGTCATCTTGGTTGGCAGTAAATGTTTAGGCCAACTCTGGTCTCCTGGTGCCATCCCCACCCTCTCACTTCAAAGCTTGGCAGCTTGGGTCTGTAACTGTTAATGAATAATCACTTGGTAACCCTTCCATCCCAACGGGAGAGGCTCAGCTGAGGGCCTGCGAGAGAGAAATGACTTCCTGGGGCAGGGGTGGGAGGGAGCAGTGGAGAGGGAGGGAAAGATTTGTTCCCTGGTGCCCAAGTCAACTGCTTTCTGGGTAATGTTTTCCTGGGTTCAAAAATTAATGTTTTGTTTGCTTTGTGGGGAGGAGTGCACAAAGCGATCCCTGCTGTGGAAAAGGTGAGTTCTATTGGCAAAGAAGGCTCCTCCATCATGTTTGCCTGAGATGACAAACATCTCAGAATTTTTACATTCAGAAATGCAGGTACTAGGAGCCTCAGTGAATTTTGCCACTTCGGAGAGCACTTTATCCCCAAGGCAGAGAAGTTACACAAATCCCAGAGGCTGAGAGATGGAGCAGAGTCCAACACACTATCGCCGACCTGAGAAACCGCAGTGCAGAGCAAGTTCCCCAGCTGCAGTCATTTGCTTTAACCGTTGACAATTTTCACAATATCTGCTTACCACCCCTATTATATTAATAATACGCTAAGTATACATTCACTCATTTATTTTAAATAATTCTTTTAAAATGAAACGGAGTAATGCCATCTTTCAAAGAATACTAGTGTTACTTCGTAATCAGAAGTAAAAATAAATATAATGAATATCATCTAATTTTTAAATATTCTATCCAGATACTGTTTTCAGCTGAAGACTCAGCCTGAGGCCTGTTGTTGTTATTGAAAAGGAGGAGAAACAAAGACTGGAAAGTGTAAAAGAATTCACCTTCTTGCTCTAAGAGGAGACTTTCTCTTAAACGTTTTTACAAGGGTCTGAAGAAATTAAGGCAATGTGCACACACCACCTAAACCCACAAACAGAGACACACTCACTATGCTGTGCTCCTATGGGAAACTCTTTACTCTTCCCTTTTTAGCTTGGCACCAGCCCAAAGGGATGGATTGAACATCAGGAAGCTCTTAGCCCCAGCTCTGCCACTCACTTGGTGGCCTTGGAAAGGGCACTTGCCCTTTCAGGAACTCAAGCTCCCTCATCTTTAAAATGAGGGAGTCAACTGAGATGATCCCTAAGGTCCCTTCCAGCCCTGACCTTCTATCCTTCCAAGACATTCTCCAGCAGGGCAAAATGTCAGGCGTGGAAAGAACCCAACTCGCCATACTGCTTTGCCAGCTGAAGCAGCGATCCCTTCACTAGGAGGGACCATTTTTTCTAACTTCAGTGAGAAACTGGACCACAGAATGGGGAGGAATGCATTTGACTCCACGACCTTAATATCAACTCTTTCAGGGACACCTGAGCTAGCCCAGCAGAGTGGGGTATGGACTTTTCACATGTTTTTCTTCAAGATTTAGTTTCTCTTAGCTGGGCACGATGGCTCACGCCTGTAATCCCAGCACTTTGGGAGGCTGAGGTGGGTAGATCACCTGAGGTCGGGAGTTCGAGACCAGCCTGACCAACATGGAGAAACCCTGTCTCTACTAAAAATAGAAAAAAGTAGCTGGGTGTGGTGGCGCATGCCTGTAATCCCAGCTACTTGGGAGGCTGAGGCAGGGGAATTGCTTGAACCTGGGAGGCGGAGGTTGCAGTGAGCTGAGATCGCACCATTGCTCTCCAGCCTGGGCGACAAAAGCGAAACTCAATCTAAAAAAAAGAAAAAAAAAAATTTAGTTTCTCTTTGTGATTTCTCAGAGTCTCAGAAAAGATACCTGGGAGTGTGGGGAGAATAGGAGTTAGGGCACCTGAGAGGTCCTGGTTAAAATTTTGTATTCAACACACTCTAGCTGTGGGATGATAGGGAATTTTCTTACCTTTTCTGAGCCTCATTTTATTCATATATATATATATATGAAGGGTAATCATACCACATAAAACTGTTGTGAGGGGTAAACAAGATAAGTGTTTATTAGAGGCACAAAAAGGCACATTATCGGCTGGTACTAAACAATAGAATGCCAGGAGTGTTCAATATCTTAGGCTGCACATTGCCCTGCAATAATTGACTTAGGGTATGAAATTCTTAGAAGGACTAGCAAGGCTCCCCCATGATGACCTATTCATCCACCTACCTCCCCTCTCTGTTCCACTGTCTCCCTTAGGAGAGATGGCAACGGCCAGAGCAGGATGCTGCCCCTTGCTGCTGCTGCTTCTGGGGCTGTGGGTGGCAGAGATCCCAGTCAGTGCCAAGTCCAAGGACATGACCTCATCTCAGTGGTTTAAAACTCAGCATGTGCAGCCCAGCCCTGAAGCATTCTACTCAGTCTCAGTAAGTACACAGAATGGTGCAAAGACCTCAACACCTTCCTGCATGAGCCCTTCTCCGGTGTGGCCACCACCTGCCAGACCCCCAACATAGCCTGCAAGAATTGCTATAAAAACTGCCACCAGAGCAGCAGGCCCGTGTCCCTGACCATGTGTGAGCTCACTTCAGGGAAGTACCCAAACTGCAGGTACAAAGAGAAGCACCTGAACGCACCTTACATAGTGGCCTGTGACCCTCCACAACAGGGTGACCCAGGGTACCCACTTGTTCCTGTGCACTTGGATAAAGTTGTCTAAGGCCTGGCGCCCACATTCCACCTCACACTCTGCAGACTGTACACTGCTGCTTTTCCTCCCTCCAGTTCGTTATTAATCCTTGCTCCTCGTTGCAAATGCCATTTCCTTCACACACACACCCAACCTCACATACTCTTGGTTTCTTACGGAGTTTTAAAGACACTTCAAAGGATGAGGGAAGACAGCAGATTCTCTTCAGCCTTTCATTGTAGCTTACTTTGCAGCCCTTCCAGAGTCAAGCCCTCAGGATCCCCACAAGGATGGATCCAGGTTTGGTGAGGCCTGTGGCTTATCTAATTTTGAAGACCCTCTTAAAGAAAAAGGATATAAAATTACAAATGTAAAATAAGATGCTTGGAAGGGCTGTGGCTGGACAGTTCAGGGAGATCCCAGACAGGGGTAATTATCTAAGGAAGGAAGGAAGGGGAATCTGCTGTGTTCCCTGTGTTGGGCAAAGAAATGCATCTGATCTTGCTGTAATAAAGACTCTGCTGTTGCTGATGGAGTGTGTGTCACTGTCTTGGGGTAAGTGGAGAGGTTTGGAGCTCCAATTCCGAGGCCCTGAAAAGGCCCTGAAACACTTGACTCTGTGAGGCATCAGCTCCACCTGCCTTGCAGGCCGGAGGGAAAGCAGCACCCTGAGCAGGCACAGTCTCGGAAGCTGACTTGATTCTGTCCTCCAGCCCCTTGAGGGCTCTCTGGTTGTCCCCTCTCATGTGAAGGGGTAGAGTGACAGGAAGGACAGGCTGAGCCCTGGGATGCCAGTCAGGTCTGAGGCCTGACCCCCTTGTTTGTGCACAAGACCTGAGTTCATGCTTCATCAACGTGACCCAAAGCAGGACCCTCAGCATTCTGGAGTGAACTTCCCTCCCTGGGGAATTTCAGAATCAGGACCTACTGAGAATCCTGATCTGGTCTTAATCGTTACTGAAGACTAACTGTGGTAAAGGAGCAGTTTTATATGCAATCGGCCATAGACCAATACTTTTGTACAATACAGTACAATGAATTACTAGAAAATGAAATATAACTATAGAAAATACAAGCCCAGTTGTTTTATTACTAGATTTAATTAATAGAAAATACTCTGTCAGATCGCCATAACAGTTACTGGTTTTTTGGGTTTTTTTTTTTTTTTCACACAAGGTCTCACTCTGTCACCCATGCTGCAGTGCAGTGGCCCAATCTCTGCTCATTATAGCCTCGACATCCTGGGCTCATGTGATCCTCCCACCTCAGCCTCCTGCGTATCTGGGACTACACATACAAGCACAGCACTGCACCTGGCTAATGTTTGCATTTTTTTGTAAAGACAGGGTTTCACCATGTTACCCAGGCTGGTCTCAAACTCCTGGGCTCAAGCGATCCCTCAACTCCTGGGCTCAAGTGATCTACCCACCTGGACCTCCCAAAGTGCTGGGATTATAGGCATCAGCCGTGGCGCGCAACCCATAAAAGTTTCTTAATGTTTCCTCTCAATTTCTGTACTTGTATTGATAGATATTCACAGAGAGAAAAACATACACATATCATACACATATACACGCATACATACCTACATGCCAACATAAGGCACACACATAAACACCCTCATATGCATATACATACAGAGGAACACATAGTAACAACGTGCACCTGTATGCACAACACCCACACATACACGTATACTCACACTCAACAAGACACCCCCTCTTCTTCCCCAAGCTATCTCTGCTTCCTTATTATACCTCCCTTCCCATATTTGGAAAGAGAGTTTCCTACACAGGCTATGATTCAGAGTAAGAAAAGGATGTTTGGTGAAACGTGAAGTGGCAGAGAAAGCATAGAATCCAGAAATTCAAAATCCCAGTCCCCTTCTATGCTTTCTAGAACTAGAACTCAATGTAGCCTGTCACGCCAACACCATCTCACTGGCAGCGTAGTTTCCCCCACAGCCTCCAGCCCCCTCCACACTGCTCTGCCCATCACTACCACTATGTTACCCACCCTTGTGCTTATAACCAGGGAAGACATCTAGAAGTGAGAGACAAACAGCATTCTTCTATACCCTGGCTTCTTCCCAGTGTTGTGGGCAGGCTCCACTTCCTGTGGCTGCACCTTAAATGATGGTGTTTCTCAGGGTCCTATTCTGAGCTCTCTTTTCTTCCCACACTGTACTCTACTTGAATGATTTGACTTACTTCCATGGCTCCAACCACCATTAACCTACTCCCAAAGACAGGTATATCTCCAGCCCAGAGCTCCCAAAGTCCAGACATACATGTCCATCTTCATACTGTTACTAGTCCAGTCAGTGTCCCACAGGCATCTCAACCCAAAACACTCAAAACTAAGTTCATAATCTGCCTGGCTTCCAAACCTGTCCCTCCCTACTCCTGCAGCCTCTCAGTGTTCGTTAGTGGAAACATCATAACCAATCATTCGAAGTCCTAACCTAAGACACATCTGTGTCAACTCATGCTTGTCTGTCTGTTTTTCCAGTAATTGCCCACCTTATCCCAGGAACTACCTCAAGAGGGCATAAAAGTTATTGAGTTTTATTTTCTTTTTTCCAAATAGCACTGAGTTCCTAACACGTGCTCAATACACATTATGGCTTTGGAGGGGGGCCGTGATTTGGAGCTAGGCAAATATGCGTAGGTTGGTACAACCGCAGATTCACTATCTTGTTTAGAGGGCAAGATTAAATAGTATATATGAAACTACCAAGTAATAAGATAGAAGAGAAGCATAAACCAAATGGATTCTGTAACATTTTTCTCCCACCTCATCTAGGGTTTCATTTATCCTCAAGTTCATTTATCGTAATCTAAAGTTCATTCTCCGTTGAATGTTAATTTTCCCGTTGCATACCTCTGGCTTAGCATTAGGTCTGTAGCCAGGGTTAGGCAACACCAGGAGAAGTTGAACCATTCAATATCTGTAAGAATTGTGGCCCCAGAAGCTGGGAAGAGTGTGAAAATAATTCAGAATAGAATGAATTGTTAAGCAAACTAATTATATCCAAACAAGTGGGGGTAGCAACCTGGGTAGGAGTTTCTGACTTCCTTGTGTAGGCTGAAGAATTAGATGGAGTGTAACTTGAATCTAGGGGTCATGGGCTGTAAAACTGGCCCATTCTGAGGGTAATGATACAGCACGCATAAAACAGGGCTCAGTGGGGCAGCTGGGGCCACAGAAGAGCTGCCCAATAGCCTTGGGACAGAATTTCTACTGTTACGCTCTCTGGGCCCCTGAGAACGTGTTTCCAAAAAATCACTTGAGAAGGGTCTCCTCAGCGATTTGGGAGGACATAAGTATTTTAAAGTGGGTAAGTATGTTTTAATATCCAGAAAATTTAGAATGAAGTATAGAAATGTTTAAAAGAATCAACATATAGCATTAACATATTCGTATTAAGGAATTTGTATTACTCTTGTCATTCTAATTTAAAATGCACATGATTTGAAATGAGACTTTCCTTTAAAATTAGTTTTGGATCATTTAAGAAAACATAGAAATTGAATCATCCTATTTATAAATTGTTAGATTTATAAAGGTTTTTAGGTATTCAGGAATGCTTTGTTGGTTAGCTCAAATGGCCAAATTATAAGGACGTGGAATATATATTGAAGTTATAAAATATCTCTTTTAATGTTTAAAGAGTGTCCTTAACTACTTACAAATAAGATCAAACAGTCAGTGAATATGATTCTTTAAAGTGATTGTTAGAATTTATTTCTATGTAAGTTAAACATAAAAGCTTAAGGAAGCTGATAAAAGCTTAAAAAGCCAAGTGGCCTCTAAATACTCTTTGCTCGGCACAAAAGAAACATTTTAAAGACTCACATTAACACTACAAGACCGATTCATTTTCTATGATATTTTCATCTATACTGCACAGTGGGCTTTGGTGATTATATTTTCTGGTGTTAATATGTTTGTTGATTTTGCTGGGGCGTTTAGCAGGGAGGGAAGCTCAAGGCTCAGGCTCAAGGGCATGCGACTGGCAGTGGAGCTTTCAGAATGGAATCTGGAGCTCTGTCTTTCCTCAGCATTCTCCTCCCTCTGCACTGTGCTGCCTTCAGTTGGGTTATTTTTCTGACTTGGGAATGGGAGTATTATATCCTAGAAAACCTGAGAAACATGAGTAGGGTTTCCCTGAGGCCAGTGTAGGGGTGGCAGAGGAATTCAGCAAAATATACTCCAAGAAAAAGTAAAACTCAAAGACTGTGGGCAGGTCTCCATCCTTTATAGGGACTTTTCCTCCTTGGCCAAACTTGGAGTTTTGAGACTACTTTTACTAAGCAAAGTAGTTTTTAAACTGTAAACAAAACAGGCTGGGCACAGTGGCTCATGCCTATAATTCCAACACTTTGGGAGGCTGAGGTAGGAGGATCAATAGAGCCCAGGTGTTCAAGAGCAGCCTGGGCAGTATAGTGAGACCTTGCCTCTAAAAAAAAAAAAAGAAAAAAAAAATTTTTTAATTAGCTGGGTGTGGGGATGCACACCTGCCTGTAGTCCCAGCTATTTGGGATGCTGAAGTGGGAGGATTGCTTGAGCCCAGGAGGTGGCAGTTGCAGTCAGCTGAGACTGCACCACTGTACTCCAGGCTGGGCAACAGAGCAAGACCTTGTCTCAAAAAGGAAACAAAAACAAAAAAAATGTATTTTAAGCAACCAGTTTTAAGCAAAAATTGCTTAAAAATGCATTTTAAGGCTGGGCGCGGTGGCTCACGCCTGTAATCCCTGCACTTTGGGAGGCCGAAGCGGGCGGATCACGAGGTCAGGAGATCGAGCCATCCTGGGCAACAGTGGAAACCGGTCTACTAATACCAAAAATTAAGGCCGGCGCTCGGGCCTGTTAAAGTCCAAGCTACTCGGGGAGGCTGGAGCAGAGAATTGGCGCAAAACCCAGGAGGCGGAGCTTGGCAGTGAGCCGAGATTGGTGGGCCAACTGCACTCCAGCCCTGGGCGACAGAGTGAGAGACTCCGGCCGCTCAAAAAAAAAAAAAAAAGTTGCAATTTATAAGCAGTTTACACTTTTCGAGTAAACTTAAGTGTCCTGCCTACAGTGATGTGTACATATGTGTGGTGTGTATATGTGTGTGTGT